AGCCGTTCTCCGTATGCGCGCATTCCACGGCTTTTCCACTGCCTCCCGAGAACCTATAATCATAGAGTACCTTTTGTGTGTACTCTGTCGAGCTTTGCACCGAGCCCTAAACAGCACTACTAAACCTTCCACTACGAGACATACCTTCGTTTTTTTTTCTTCGTCGTACTATTATGAAGAAAGTTCAAGATTTTAGCACAATCGGAGCGACCATGCGACCAACACCGACATCGAGCCAGCTTGAATTGCTTCAGCCCAAAGCATAAATACACAAAGTGAGAGTAGGCGCCTGAGCAAGTACATTAAAGCTCGTAATGAAGTTGTACCGCAGTGGCGAATGAAAAGTCACACCAACGCTCGCGAGTCGTTGTTGCCGTAACGGCTGTGTCGCTTGTATATACTGCCCCCCGCGAATGCATACTCTCGTACACACATCATGATGCAAAGCCCGCGAGCACTAATAATAATTCATGCCAACAAATTTTAAATATTTTATACAAAGTTTTTACCTTGATTTTTTATACGGCAGGAGAGCAAATATATACAGTATGAAATTTTTCTGACTCTCTGACTGTACAGATATATGCAGGTAGTGCCGTTTGTGTTTTAGACACTCGAGTTACGTAAAAGACGGTTACGTGCCTTCGCGCCAAGCGCATAGGGACTTGCTTCGTCGAGATTCGTACGTACTTTCATGCCTGCGCACGTACCCATACTGGCACGTATGTGTGTGTGTGTGTGTGTGTATATATATACGTGTATTTTTCCGCGCCTTTCATACAAAAGCTCGACTAGCTCTTAGCGATGAAAATTCCTACACAAATTCGCGTGCATCGAGCTTGTGTCGAGAAAAATTCAGATCAAGTTGATTTTCAAAGGCCTCTCGCAGCTCTGCTTGGTTCCTGCAGCCACACACAAAAAGTAATTCCATATCTCTCGTCAACTGCTGATTCGTAAACATCCCAATGCTGTACGCAAGAGAATCGGGCGCTAATGAGACCTAACGCAGGCCAAATAACACCGATTTAGGATAATACTGAGTTCTTGGTAGCATAAACATTGCATACGAAGACGAGTCGAAAAATTACGTGTAGCCTTTAGAGTTTTTATCGAAACATAATTATAGTTTTGCTGTGCGATGTGCATGAGTGTATCGCAGATGTGTAAAACTGCTTTTCAAGGATTCAAGAGTGAAGTAATGAGTCTATGTAATCGTTTGAAATTGATATTTAATCGAACAATAAGTACAAAATATTAGTTGCTCGTATTATAATAAATTTGCAAGAGAGTCAAGCACAGATCTCTGTAGATATTGGACACCACAGCTCATTTAATTGAATACCGAAAGCCCGTACAGAGATGGTCGGTCGATGAGTGTACTCGCGTGCAATACCGGTTGTTCTCGTCGTTTTCGCGGCAAGAATTAGAGAGAAATCGCGAAAATGAAAAGAGATGCGACTAGGCGCAGCATTAGAAAAACTCGTCGCTCACGCGCAGTGTCGTGAGGGATCTCGAAACGGCGGCAACGCAACTCATATCTATCTATATGCCACGTACTCCGTGCGTCAGGCAGCTCCAGCATCATCGCTACTGGGAGAAAAAGAGAGAAAAAAAGTGGCTATTTTCACAAAAATTGCAACCGCAGAAATGGCTTGGCCAAGCGCAGTTTGCAACTCGATTCGTGGCGAGCACACTGCACGACACGGAGGAATTTAGAAATGTCGATTTCACAAATTGAGAACATTTGTTTTCTTGAGAAGCGAGAATTCTGATAAGAGCTCCAAGCGAAACAAATAGCCATTGGTGCACTCGGTCCATTGGAAATTCCACTTGGCTGCGTGAGTAAATTTGTATCGAAACCTATGGATGTTGGGCCAGTCTCGATACTCGATACGACGATACGACGTACGCGTCGGGATATGGCTCGCAAATGCGAGTTCGTAATTATTCAATATTTTAGATTGGTAAGGTATATGACATGCAAAAGAAACACAAGAAGCGTTTGAGCCTGCAGTGCACGCGCGCTATAAAGAACGTGTCTCGTAGCACGTGTATTACGAATGATGGTCGACAAATTATTGCCGCCCGCAAAACAAAATCGAGCAAGACAAGGAAAGCCTATTAAAATTATGTACAGTCGTACGCGCGTCGCTATTGTGGCACTCCATCTGCATCTGCAGGCTCATGTGCATCGGGCTGCACGGCGGCAGTAAACCATCCTATGGCGCAATGCAAGAAAATCGATTCGGTCTTTTTTCTTTGAAATTATTTTCTTTCTGCCTTTCTCGAGCGCAGCTGACGATCGTTAACATGCGGCCCTATCGCGCCTCATCGAACGAGAATTTATCCCCGCCGCACAGGTAAAAGCTTCGTTGCACATTTTATTATCAACATATGATTGTGGTATCTCGATGCGAATACATTGATATAGCTTTGCGCTGTTCGGTAGAGGAAATTTCTCGTTGATATTTACGATGTATGCAAAAAACAGAACAGCACAACGGAACAAATTTTGGCGTTGGGATCATTTATGATATCATGAGCACAAAAGAAATGCGCAAAGCTTACATGATTAAATTTAGAAATACGCTTCGCTCGTAAGAAGTGTCTTGTAATCAACGTTTAAAAGACTCAAATAGAAAGCATCACATTTAATACTTGCATGCCCGCGTGAGGTGAAAAATAAACAGATCCGTATGTATATTGTCGGAGTATAAAGGCCGAATAGCAGCAGGCCATTATTAAGGTATTGCAGGATGCACATAGACCATACTCGTAGACATCGTAGCGAGCATCGTTATGTAACTATCATCGCACGTACATTATACTGTACGAATTACTTGGCGCTGCTGCTTCTGGCAGGTATTCCACTCTTAAGAATATTAACTGCAATGTGCTCGCTCGAGGCCTGTACGGCAGACGCAAAGAGAGAGAAGCCCCCTGGACGCAGCCTCGGCGAGAGCACTGCGGACTGCGCTAAAGACTATCCGACCTTTCACCTGCGTCTATAATTTTCACACGTGAACATATATTTAATTTTATCGTAAATATCTCCAAGCCGCTTCAAATGTAACGTTGGTGCGCACTGGGACAAATTAAAACTCTCCAGGTTTGAGTTCAAAGCTCGAGGGACGTCTGGATGATGTTTTTTTCGACGAGAAGTTTGAGCTGTTTGATAGTTCATTATTTTATAAATATGAAAGTCGTTCAAAGTTGATAATACCTCTGTCGCGACCAAGTCGGCGTAATCGTAAAATTTGTGTCGTGCTGTCGAGTTGCTTATCAATAGTTGTGGAATAAACGAAGCGAGCCTCGACCGAAAGTTGTTCTCTCGCCGCGGCTCAAATATAAAGTGCTTAGATATCGTTGTCAAGATCGCGCGGTATCAGTCGGAGATCATCCTCGTATGCAGTGCCAGGAGGACGCGTACACATGTTGGGTTGGTTTTCGTCGGCTGCATACCTTAGCACACGACTATGCACTTGGCAATTATCCACCAACGGTTTTCCATATGGAATTTAAGCGCAAGGGGGCGTGTGAGCATACGCATACGGCCGTGCATGCGAGCCGCACATCGATGATGAACCCGCGAGATTAAAAGCCGTCGTGCGCGCGAGAATGAGCGGCCGCATCGACTGCCGAGAGGACGGAAGGACCATACGTCACGGTATAGAGTATATAATAAACAACATTTGGATGGAGCAGTCGCACATGAATAGACGCAGCATCGACTAACTCGCATTAATTTACAATATTTTAGTATATTTACTGTGATGCTTATTTATTTAATTCTCGCCACTCGGCAGCCCCGACGAAAATTAGTATTCACCGGAACGCCAATACCGCTTGTACAAGATTGTGTTGTACATACTGTATGCCGTACCTCTTGACATTTGCGCGTAGCCGTGGCATAATGATATACGCGCCATGAACGGTGAGTTCGATCAATCCATCTTTCCGCACTGCGCAGCTATTACTAAGCAACTTTGTGTTTAAGCGTAACACATACATGCAACTAAAGCCTTTAATGAGGTGTGAAAAATTTAGAATTTCCTTCTATCAAGCCGTGGCGGTGCAGACGTGCGCCATGATTTATAAATTACAACTTTGGGATACGAGCTGCGATCGACGAGTGCCGAGTACACGTGCACGAAAACTCTTCCGGCTTTCGTTATTTTTATACGTGCGTACTCTAGACGGCCTCTAATTAGCAAATCTATGCGCTAAAGTGAGTGGCAAGATTGAAAAGCAAAAATACCCTTTTATTCTTCCTTGTTTGTGTTAGCTGCTTTGTCTATTTTGCTCCATTAATTTACAAGTTTTATGTGTATGTGAAATTACGTATCACTAATTAAATTCGGTGCAAATGCGATTCCAATACAAATTGTATTATGCATCGTATTTCGACACTGAGTTTGCTCTAATTTCTCATCCCTCGAGCTGACGATGCATACGCGCGAGGGTACTAGAGGTCATTTTTGGCGTGCGAAAAATAGAATAATATCGAGTCACGTAGAACGGTTGCAGTTGAATGAAGTAGTCTCGATTCGGTAACGAAAAGGCAGTCAACTCTCCACCTACTTTCAGCTAAATATTGGGAAATTTTGGCGTGACGCGGATTTTGCCCGTCTGACGCTACATCATCCTCGCTCTCGTATATAACGCAGGGCCTTATTCGTATGATATACATTAGATTTTATTCTCACGGGCTTCTTTGCTAATAAGATTTTTCTTTTTCATGTACGTCTTTCGAGACTCGTAACACAACGACGCAAATGCGCACCAAAGAAAGGATTAATTAGTTTGCCATTGGGCAATGCTCACACATGCCCACATAATATTTAATATTACGTTGTGCGCCCGAAAGAGAGAAATGCGATTACACGTGTGTTTTTGGAATTTTTTCGCCTCATCCTGAGACGCTCGACGTCTAAACGCAAGCATGTATATTAATGATTATTATATTCACATATATATGCATATGCGTTTTGAATACTCACTGCATGATTATCGCAGCTCGGCTATACGTCGACGGAGTCTCGACGCCCCAAGAATGTGCTTTGCCGGCGTTGCTCGGGCTGATTAGTTTTCTCTCTATCTCGCTCTGTGTGCTAAGCTGCAAATTCACCTGTAACATAAAAGAGAAATGCGCGATTAGATAATGCGCAGCACTCGAGAGCCTAATGAAATTGTACCTACAACATTGTAAAGAACATCGGCAAATTTATACTATTATGAGACGCGTTCAAATACCTGCGAAATCTACAAAATTAAGATTCGGATTCGATATTCATTTACACCACGCCGTAGATGTTTTCGATCCTTGATCGATCTCCTCTGGACTATCAAATGTTTTATTAAATTAAATGGAGGAATTAACGACGCGCAGTAGTCGCAGGAGCTAGCAGCCATTAGATAGTGCAGGTGTGTTTGTGCATAAAATAACATACATCTCTAAGCGACGACTACGACAACAGCAGCGCAGCTATATCTATGTATAGGATAAAACCTGCACGCCAAACCAAATGGGCTCGAGTATGTGTGTGTGTGTCTATGAAGTGAGCGAGCAAAAGAGAAAAAGAGAGAGAGAGAGAACTATACAAATTGTGTAATGTTTGCTGAACAATCGAGCGTGACGCAAGGCTTTTTGCTCACTACTAAATATATACGTACACTCGACGCGACTCCAGTACCTCTGCAGGTATACACACATATAACTTATTTATATGTGACCGTATGTGTGAGTAGGAAATTTTTTTACTCAAGCTATCTAGAGGATGAGCTTCTTTTGCAAATGGATAAATATCTGTTCTGCGGTTAAAGGATTTGCACATAGTACCAATGCGAATTGGCTTTTGCGCGAGAATCAAGATAAGGCAAATACATATCCTTTATAGATTCAATATCAGTCCATTTTGCGGCCTTTCCAATAACGTTATATAAAGCCATTTAAATATTTTGTCAGGATCGGCCAAGTGCGTCAATGATTTGTCATCGCAGCCTACATAAATGTATGCGCTTCGAGTCCGCGTATATATTAGAGCCACTCCAAGTTCAGATCTGTCGCGCAGTTCCTGCCGCAAAAGTAAGACATAATGGTCGCGCATAGCAAAAGGCAAAAAGACGTTTCCTCGAGCAGTACGCATAACTGCGTACGTACATAAACGTGCTCTTAACATTTTTCTTCCTTTTCGCAAAGAGCAAATCTCAGCCTCCTCTTTACCGCTTCTGCACAGCTTTAAAAATATATAATGAAGCGGCGCGAGCGATAATTTCTGCCTTTTTTCCTCAAACGACCTGTAATGAGCTTAATTTCAAAACTGTAGTTCTGTTTTGTACAATACGCAGGTAAACATAAGCGCTGCGGAATCGTCCTTATTATCGTCTCTAAAGAGCTTCCTTATTTTTCTACCACTCAAACGGCAGAATCGTCTCAATTTTTTTTCCTCGCTTTCCCACCCCTTGAATATATTTTGCGTGTGTACGGCTTATCTAAATCGCGCAAACGATCGAACGCAAAGCTCAGTTGTTTTTCTGCGGGCGTTGAAATATATTACGTGCGGCGAATCTGAAGCCACTGTATAATACCGAGACAGACACTTGCCGCGCGTAGCAACTACACGAATGAACGGAAATATACGGTAGACGCGTGCAGAGCCTCGGGAGCCATGGTGGCGCACGGGCTTCTATCGATTTTTGTCTTCAGCGAGTGGCTCTTCGTGGATGTGTACTGTATGTGAGTCTGTTGTATTGCGCCTCTAGCACCCAAAACGACTATGCGACGCACACTCGTGGTGACTTTTCACACGCGTCAATTTAATTGTTCAAAATTTATTTTATATCAAGTCGTTGAGTTTGTTTCTTAGCAGTCAAGGCGAAAACCTACATGTTCATTTTGTGCCTCAAGACTTATGACTATTGGATACCTGTACGTGTAGATTTACGTGTGTGTGCGTCGTCTGGATAAGAGGGAAACTGCACGACACCCTCGAGAGCAAGGATATAAATTTTCAGCGAACTCGAAGGAGTAGTACTTCTGATGCTAGCCGTTTCCAATAAAACTATATATTATGCTATATATACTATTCAGCCAGTCAACGATCGATTTAGCCAATTGCATCCGGAAGATTGGAAAATCGCCGAGTTATCACTTTTTTATTTGCTATGTGCGTGTGAATGTAAGGTATACCAGCCCTGGCATCGATTTTACCGCGTGCTTTTATGGGAGGTTGTACGTCAAAACATGCCAGTGTCGGCCACCCAACTAAAATTTGCTTCATAAGAAAAACATGGAATTGCTTCCAAAATCGGGCTGCTACGGGTTAAGCGCATAGTCAATACGAACAAAGTGCCGAATCCGAGTTCTAATCGTGCAAAGCAAATTGGAATAATCTCTGCCGCGCGGCTTCTTACGTATAGTGCCGGTGCAATCTCGAAGAGGTAGTATAGGTAGCAGCTGTTTTATTATAAAATTTAGAACGTTCGCGCGTCGACTGTTCTTTTACAATATGTTTCACTGGCAGTACGTGCATTACAAGTACTCGCACGTACGCGTGTATAATAAGCGGCTCGTACAAACTGTTCTGCGTTGATCGGCTTGAACTACATAATACTCGTATAATACATGTGCGAGAAACCCCGTTATGCCTACCTGACACGATCGCCACGGGCAGCCACAGCAGCAGATACACAACTCGCGCGTCACTTTATGAAGCTCGCGTAATTCATTTACTTACACGTGTATACTCACTACTGCTTTGCAGCTTTAAGGGTGGCTTCAATTCCAAAAGTTTTAACCTCTCAACGCGACTCTTTCACTGCGCAGAGTCATTGGAATTTTCTATCGATGCGACCCAGCTCGAGCAATAGAAGAGAATTTCTCGGACATTTCAATGCGCGAGACTTGCCGAACTGTCTCTCGCTCGCCTCCAAATTATTGCTTTCCTGCCGTAAACTCGCATAATTGTAATTGTTGCCTTTTATAATGTATAATTGCCGGCAGGCGTGCGTGAAGCTCGTATAAAATATTTTTGCTTCAAGAAACAACACACACAGGTGCACACGGATAATATTCAAATAAAGCATATTTAATAATAGGCCTAGACTCACTTCCATTTTTTGGTCAAGTAAATTCACTCACGCTCGCATTCGCGGAAATGCAATCAAACATACAGCACGATAAAAATATTTATTAATTCGCAAGCACGCGTCGTTGGAGTTTTATATCGGTCGAGCTATTTTTTCTCTTTCTTAAAACGGAAAGCGAACCATGCGTTATGTATATATTTTTTATCATTTTTATTGCTCTTGCGTCGACATTTTACAATTGTCAGAGAGCGGCTTGTACGTGATGATTAATAATTTTATTGCTGGGTTGTTAATTGCTACTTATTACTTGTTGGGAAGAGAGAGAAACAACCAAGAGAAAAAATGCACAAGTTTGCGTCACTGCGGCTCCGTTAATTCTTTTTTCGTTATAATAGATCTGCGAGTGTGCGTGTGGCTCGATATTCCACATCCATCTATACTATTTCACTGCATGTGGCAGCAATTACTCGTACTTTTACGATCGAACTCGCTCTCTATATTGCGATTTGAATGTTCGAAATTATATATCGTAGAAATGGACGCGAATTACGGTAGGGTACTTTTTGCCAAAGAATAATTATACTTTTATTCATTCGCAAAATTCTAGTCCCTATCATAAAGCGCATCTATTTACGTTATCATATACAGATTAGAAGCTAGATAAAAGCACTAGGATAGAGGTGAACTTAACTCGGTATTGCCGAATATAAAGCTCAGTATTTTTATCGTAATCTTTGGAAGATTTCCTAAAAGCTAGAGAAGTTTGAGTTGCAATCAAGGGCTGATTATTCTCTAAATAAATTTATATACATATCTGATTGGATTTTCTTCCTAGACTTGTTTGTATATTTATTCAGATTATTTGCCACGTGGTACTAAATTTCTTTCTCTCACCTGCACTGCGGATCACTATGAAATTATATATCCTGGACTTTCACCTACGCTAGCGTGAAATGTATATCTCATGGCTTATGCATCCGATTACATTACACACTAGTGCATACATGTGTCCACGTATATATTTAACGTATATAAACGAGAGTAAAATTTATGTGTATTGAAAAGTATAAATTTAAATACCGGCGTATGTGCGTGCAAGTGTGTTTATACGTAGAACCAAATCCATAGCCTAATACTGTGGGTGCGTAGGTGTTACGAGCCACAGCTATATATGATGCGTAGTGAGAAAGTCTACGCGAGGTTCAAAAAAAAACGTCGCTAAACTTCTCAAAAAAGCGGCGATATCACCTCATTCGTACACTAGCACGCATCATAATGTAATCACGTTGATGAAAAAAAAAGTCGAATCCGTGTCACCGTGTTGCTCTGTTTCGGAGGGTTTTGTATTTTATGCTCTATCTTTGTGAGCTTTGTAATACAGGAGAAAAAAATTATGTTTTATTCAAGAGCCGTTGTTGTTTTTCTCGGAGGCCAGGACTCTGGCGCAAAAGCTAAAGTTGCACTTGGGCCAACAGCACAACGAGCTATACAAACACGTATGTAACATTACAACAAAATGTAACGGTGATAACGTTTACGCGCACACCTCAATTCCACGTAAGCGTGGCGATGGTGTTCGATTTTCTTCGACTGGATAGATGCTGTCTTTTTTCTTTGCCATGGCTAAATGAGTTTTGAAACCAGACGCAGCGATTGGTCAGTTTCGTTGCTAACTTGATTTTTTCATGTGTGGTGTACATAAAACACCTGGATAATTTATTTTCAATTTTTTTCCATTTTTTATTTTGCAATGCATGCGCTTACTACTATAGTGTTATTTATAAAATGATGACAAGAGGCACAGCAAACAGAGACGATTTGTTTTCGTTCAAAATTTGTTTCCATTCAAGTTCGCATCTCAAACAAAGAATGTGTTTTAGAAATTATGGAAGACGAGCGTCGGCTGAGACTCGCACGACCGGGCCAATGGAAAGAATCTCACATATAACGTAAAGTATAGGCAAAAATCTCGTTTATCCGGCAAAAGATATTTCTCGCGGCGACTGCGGCGGGGAGACGGAACGAGATACGAGTCATTAG